GCCTACGATGGTGAAGGATTGCATAGACTATGCACGGAGATGTCAAGCATGTCAATTTCATGCGAACTTTATCCATCAACATCCTGAACCGCTACATCCGACGGTAGCATCGTGGCCATTTGATGCATGGGGGCTCGATGTGGTTGGTCCTATTACACCCAAGTCATCAGCAGGGCATTCGTATATATTAGCAGCCACCGATTATTTCTCAAAGTGGGCTGAAGCAGTGGCTTTAAAGGAAGTGAAGAAGGAAAATATTGCAGATTTCATCCGAGTTCACATTATCTATCGTTTTGGCATCCCTCGGTATATCCTAACTGACAACGGGAAACCATTCGATAATAAATTGATGGATAAAATCTGCAAACTTTTTGAGTTCGAGCAAAGAAATTCATCAGCTTATTATGCAGCTGCAAATGGACTTGCCGAGGCTTTTAACAATACTCTATGCAATCTACTAAAAAAGGTGGTGTCGAAGTCAAAACGTGATTGGCAAGAAAGGATGGAAGAAGCACTGTGGGCATACAGAACTACATACCGTACACCAACACAAAGCACTCCATACTCACTGGTTTACGGGGTTGAAGCAGTCTTGCCTCTTGAACGCCAAATACCTTCTCTAAGGTTAGCTATCCAAGAAGGCCTTACAGACGAGGATAATGTAAAGTTGCGGTTGGCAGAGTTAGAAGCTCTCGATGAGAAGAGATTGCAGGCCCAACAAAGTTTAGAATGCTATCAAGCTCGAATTTCTAGAGCTTTCAACAAGAGGGTAAGGATTCGCTCATTTCAGGTTGGTGACAAGGTGTTGGCGGTTCGTAGACCTATCATTATTACAAGGAAAACTGGGCATAAGTTTACCCCAAAATGGGATGGACCTTACGTGGTACAAGAAGCATACTCAAGAGGTGCTTACAAGCTAATTGATGAAGATGGTGTGCGAGTTGGCCCTATTAACGGGAAATTCTTAAAGATCTATCATCCCTAAGCACACGGACTACATGATGAGTGATATCCACCAAAATGCAGCACGTGGTTAAACTGCTAATGCATCTCGCTTGTCTATGGGTGGGACCAAGTCATAGACGCTCCTGACCCGCACGAGCTTAAACTGTGTACGGTAAACTCCTGGCCCGCATGAGTTTAAACTGTGAACGGCCCTACCTATTCAAATGGTCCTTTGAACTACGTTTGACTTGATCTCCTTCGCAGGAGTACGTAGGCAGCTTAGAAACACCTCCTCTTCTAAGTTCAGTCATAACTAAAATAAACCCCTTTGTGTCCCTTTTATGTCACGTTTGTTCGAATAATGTAGATGTATTGGAGATGGGTCATCTCTGTTCACGTTGTAATTACGGGTGAATTCTTTTGTCAGATTTCTATTAGAGTGACTTGTTTGGGTTTAGACTTAGTTGCTTCTGTTCATGCTGAAGTTCAATTGTTCGCAAGTATTGTTGAAAAGATAAGAGAAATCAAGTCGTATTCAAGTCTTGTTTCCAAGTATAAAACTCATGCGTTATACAAACAAAAAAAATCTCTAAGCAAAAAAAAAATATAAATAAATCTAAAGTATTCTAAAGCTCATGAGATCTTCCTTATACGCTTCCAGCTCTCTTTTGATTGAAGTAAGCTTTTCTTCATCTTCATCTGTCAACGTGGGGCAGTCTCGAATACGTTTAATTTCATCCTCAGCGGTGGTCACGGCCTTTTGCGATGCGTTATGTTGTTCTTGAGCCTTCGTCACACGGTCTTGGAGTTCCGGGTTCTTGGCTTCAATCTCCTTCAACTCTTCCTGTGCATCCTTTATCGTTTTCTCCAGGAGGGCTTTTCGATCGGCGACGTCTTCGAGGGTTTTCTGTTCGTCAAGAAGAAGCGCTTCGGTTTGAGAACACTTCCGTTGAGCTTCCACAAGGATACCTTGCGTTAGAACTAGCTTCGCGGCTTGGGTTTCAACGGGCAGCGCATTCGAGAGCTGCGACCGCGCCCGATCGAAATCTTTAGCTTTGTTAAAGAACTCGGCCACTCGTCGCTTCAATATTGATAAGTCCACCCCGTCCCGTCCCATTTCTTGGAGTTGTCTTTCAACGCTTCCTTGGATGGAAGAAATTCTTTCAGCTGGGATCTCATTAAGCTTCCTGCAGATACTACTCCAAACTCCCGCAATGAAAGCCATGTATTGTGATATAAACGACTCCTCGCCGGGGAAGATAGAGGCTTGGGACGGCTCTGGCTGCATCTCCTGAGGAGTTGTGTTTAAGGGCAACGTCGACTGGTGGGATTCTACCTCGAGGTCAAGGGTATTAGAGCGTCCACCACTTTGTCCCATTGAAGACTGGTGATTTGATGACTGGACATCGTTGCTAACATGTGGCTCGGCAGGATCCTGTAAGAAGTAGTGCATGTACGTTAACAAAGGCCAAAGTCCAACGATATACGAAACAGGAGAATTTGGGGAAGTATCTTAACCTGGTTTAATGGTCTCCCTCTAGGCCGTTTCCAACAGCGATCTTGGTCGTCATCACTACCAGCGTCCTCGTCCGAGCTTCGTTGCCTCGCTTGCTCCTCCCTACTCCTTCGAGCGACATGTCCTGAGGCCCTATCCCGAGATGACATGTCCTCTTGTGCAGGTGTTTTATTGTTCCTTGAGGTGGTCAGTTGGTCTCTTTGTTCTTGAGTTCCTTCCTCGCCGACAGGTACGTTTGGGTTTCCGTTAACGGCTATGTCTGTGAAATGATTCTCGAGAAGGTTTGCACTCACATCGATCAACCAGGCCTTGTACTCGTTCGAAAAATGCTTCTTTGGAGCAGCCGGGCTCATGGGAAATGTCGCCCTAGATTGGGAGTTGATATTATCATATTGGCGATGAAGTCGGAATCCTTCGGTGAGTGAAGCATAACGGACATCCTTCGCCAACAGGCCGGGGGCATATGCTTGATAGAATCCAAATTGACGACTGAAGCGATGCGGTATGTAAGGCTCAACTTTGCATTGAGACCCTTGGCGCAAAACGAGGAAGCTGGGGCGCAAACATATGAAGTACTCAAAGTCTTCCCTACTCCCTCTACGGTCGTCGTAAAAGATAAAATCTCTACTATCCTTGCGGGAGTTGCAGAGCCAAGAAACGTCCCCTTTGAATATCTTCTTACGGGCATCCATCTCGGTGTAATACCTTGCACCACCTTCTCCAGAATTAGTGACCATCTTTGGGTTTGCTAACGTGAGGCTGGGGGTCTTAAAGTGGGTTTGGTAGTAAGTTGCTAGCCAGCTGTACACGTAATGGATTGGAAAAGGATCTCCTATTTGACCAGGAGAGTGGGATTCCGAGATTGAGTTTAAACCAGAATAAATACTAGCAAGTACTGGAGCCGCAAGACATATCTTATCTCCTTTAGCCATCATACATGCTATCCTGAAAGTCTCTGGGCGAATGGTTCTTGTTGGTGTACCTGGCAGGACAAACACGCAAAGCCAACAAGATAAAAACGCGGCCAAATAAGCTTCCTTTTCGAAACGCTGAGAGATGCCTAGTTCAAGAAAGGGCGTCCTGCTCACATCTAACCACCTGAGGGATTTGTTAAGTTCTCCGCTTGGGTTGTGGGTATTCTTTGGCCGAGATTTCCTGTCATTTTGAGATGGAGGTGGAGGAGCTGGATGTGTTCGCGGTTTTCTGCACCAGAAGTCAATCCATCGCGATGCTTAAACAAAGGGGGTGCCTTCCTCTTGCTGGTTTAAAAGGTAAAAGGCCTCGAATAAGCTTGCACAACACCTGTTTGGGCCCCTTTTTAGGTCCAGGGCACTCGGGATGTGTTCGTCGTAAATACCGCCGGACAGTGGTAGTCCTCCAAGAACGTGCAAATCCCGAGGCGATATGCTCACCTCACCAGACGAGGTGATCAGGGTGTTGGTTCTTGGGCACCATGCTTCGCAGAAGGCTTTGGCAATGTTGATGTTACGGTCATATGTAAATAATGACGCAAACACAGCATCATATATCTTCCCCTCCTTTAAGGTGTCGTGGGAGAAGTGAAGTGTTTCTTCAACCCACTCCCAATATCCTTTTAGAAAAGTGAATTCGCCCTCGAAGTCTGTGTCTTGGCCCCACGAGACCTCAGCATTAAGTATACGACGCCCCAGTGTAGGAAGGGCGTCTTTGGAAGGTTGGTGTTGCATTCCGGGTAGCAAGGTCCACACCTTGGATGGCGGGCATTCGTACTCGGGGGTCCAGTTACTCGCATGATACGACACCGTGAGCTTTGGCGGGTCGTGTAGTACTATGGGTGGGTTAACCTTCAGTATGACTTGATGATCACTATTTCTGCTCGATATAACCATGACATCTTGCCCGTTACACCGTTGATCTTGAAAGTACACCATCTTGAAGGTGTCAAAGTCGAAAAGTCGCTGCAAAAAAAAAATAATAATAATAACTATGATATATTATGCACAAATGTATAGCATATACATAACACAAAATTAAATTGACGATTTATATATATATGGCAAATTTTTTTTGGATAATGGTCCACACAATTTTATGGACCATGGTCCACACAATAATGGTTGTATACATATACTACATGTGGACTACATATGTTAATACATTGTATATGTATACACACAATATTATATAATTATTATTGTTATTATTATTATTAGTACTATCATTATTATTAGTAATGTTATTATTATTATATTATTATTATATTACTTCTATTAAAATATTACAAAAAAAAAAGAGAAAATAAAAAAAAGTAAGTAAAAAAAAAAAGCAAATCAAGAAAAATCAAAAAACGAAAAACAAAACAGAAAACAAAGCAAAAGAAACAAAAAAAAAAATGAAAGAAAATATGAAAGACTATATGTATATATATGTGAGCATAATTTGTGTTAGTATAATGTTAATATAATATAATGATATATGTAATGTAATGTATTTGTATGAGGAGTAAGGGTTGGCACGTGTGGCCATGTTAGAGACTTTTGGAATTTAGCATTTCTTCGGATAATATTAAAGTCTTTTTGTTGTCCATTTTGTCATTCCCCATAAGCATAGCACTGCAAAGTCACATGGTTAATAAAGGAAAAAGCTGGCTTTGGAATTTGCATATAAACAGAGCCGTAGACTGAAATGGTTGCCAAAACAGATCCAAGCCCTTCAAAGCTCATCCTTTAGTCATCGACGACAACTCTGGAGCAACAATATTTCGACGGGTGTGAGCAACTTTCCAATGGGAACCGCAGCATCGACGTTCAGTAACTTCCTTCATCTCTGTCTTCTCCCACCCTATGCGGGATGATGGTGGTGCAAGGAGTAGTGTCCAGCGATCCAACGGTGACTTCAATGGAGATCAAATTCCTGCACCAACAACAATGGATAAACAGAGCTCTGCAACCGGCGGCCTTAGGACTTTAGTCAATCCCCTAGCAATGATAATAAGATGCAGAAGAAAGCTTCAACAACTGCAATTTGCGACCGGCGGCTTCTACAAAGAACTCCGGTGGCGGCAGCAACGCAACAGCTCGGGTGACCTCCAGCAGCGGCGATCTCCGGCGAACCTGCAAAAGACAGAAACAGGGCTCTGCAACCGGCGTCCGGCGACTTCTGTGAAGAACCTCCGGCAGCTGCGTTGGCAACGGGCTTCAACGATTTACGACCAGCGGCCTTGACGGTGGAAAGTTCCAGCGGCGGCTTTGCAAAAAAAAAAAAAAAAAAAAAAGAGAAGAAAAACAACAAAAAGCGACCGGCGGCATTTGCGAAGAACTCCGGCCGGAGAAGCAACGAACCTCCGAGTGGCAATCAACAAGAGCTCTCAGGTTGCTTCCTAAGTTCATGATCGCCCAAATTCTTCCTCATATGTATTGTCATTCCTGAAGAAACATATATGGGAAGAGAGGGTGCAAAGATGAGAGGTTTACCTATTGAGGAGCAAGCTGTTCTTTCTTGGTCTTGGTTCCGCTGATTGCTGTGGGTTTGGGGTTGATGGAGGAAGTATTTATAGTGTACTGGGAGGGGGTGTCATGGTTGGATTACACTCTTAATGTTATCATGATTGGGATTGAATTTAACGGTACAACTGGGATCACGGACGAGATAAGTCTAAGTTTTTTTTTTTTTTTTTTTTTTTTTTTTTTTTTTTTTTTTTTGCATGGTCACCAATGTTAGAGACGAGTCTGATGGTTAGTACGCTCAGAATTTGAGATGGTCTAGTCCTACTGGGTTTAACCATAGTGCAGAGCTGAGCTTGACCTTACATTATTTGATTTTGGGCTTTGGAATATCTAACGTGGGCCAATAAATGTTGTATGAGCCCAATATCCCTTCACCAGCTTCATCATAAATTAATTTTGGGCTCAATGAATAATTTTGGGCTCATGATGTTATAAGACACTCCCATGGATTTGAATGGCCATGTGTTAAAATTTCGAGACTTTCTCACTCCAAGCACATTAAGCGGCATGTCCCGGCAAGTCTCGAGGGGGCAATTTGTAGACACCGAAAATTTGAACCCAATAAATGGACCGATTAAAGTGTTATTGAGCTAATGTTGAGATTGATGATTGGGCCGATTTGATTAATTGGATCATGGAAATTAATTTAATTTAATTAGCCCAATTAGATTTGATTTGGGCCATTGAATTAATTAATTAGTTGGCCCAAGCCCATTTCATATTTGAATTTAAATTATAATTATAATTTAAATATAATATTAATTTTATTATATTTGAATTAGATATTTATAATTTAATTTGAATTTGAATTAGATTATACGATAATGAACCTGGACTTGATTCTGGGCAAGGTTCATTTTCTAGAATAATTAATTAATTAATTAATTAATTAAAGGGGGAGTTTGTTGAGGAATGTTGGTTAGGCTTCTAGTATAAATAGGGCCTTCATTTTCGTTCCAAAATACACTTGAAAAGCTTGAAGAACTTGAATGCTTAGAGCTTGAAGGCATTGAACAACTTGAAGACTTAAGGAGTTGAGAGCATTTGAAGAACGCTTGAAGGCTTGGAGGCATCTTTTGAATATTTTGCAGGCAATTTGAATCCATTGCAGGTACTTTGGAGCTTTGCAGAATTGATTGTCTTGAAGATCTTGAAGTCTTTTGAAGGCATTTGAGGACCTTAAGGCGGCTTGAATCCATTGCATGTGTTTTTTGAAATTTTGCAGGATTGATTACTTCTAAATCCTTGACGCTCGTTGTTGGGAGTCACGCCAATTAAATCCCGGAAGCTACGCCAATTGAATCCCGGAGGCACGCGCCACTTAAATCCCGGAGGCTACGCTACTTAAATCCCGGAGGCACTTCCATAGATAACGTCAGTGAAGAATCAGAGGACTAGACAGAGATTTTGTACCTGCATTGAATTATACACACGCTGTACACGGAATTTTGTGAATATATACAAAGTTTACTTTTTTGTGTTTACAGCGCCAGAGGCTAGATCAGATTGATGCCAGCTCAAGCCGAAGAAGAGGAGACGAAGAAGAGCCCGAAGAGAGCACCGACGAGTCAGAGAGCGAGTCGTTCTAGCTTAGTGTTGTGGTAACCTCGTTCACCCTTTTTTTTTTCTTTAGCTTATGTTATCTTTTAGTTGTGTTACCGTTGCCTGTTGTTGTGGGTTGCTTTGTGTGTTTGTTTTGCTTGCTTGCTTGGTTGGTTTGTCGGTTTAGTGGTTTGTGTTAGAAGTTAGAGGTTTAGACCTTGGTAGTTGGGTAGAAGTTGTTGGTTGTGTTTGGTTTAAAGTTTGATATGCTCAGTATCTCCGTTGGTTAAATTCTTTCAATCCTTGTATCGATATACCTTCTTGCTTATGTTTAACACCTTTTGAATCCTTTGAGTTTTGACCAAATAAGGATGTTCTTGACACTCTTGTCACATTGTGGTTTCGTTTCACCGTTTGATCTAATTCGTCGTACCCAAGCTTCGGGGACGAAGCTTCTTTGAAGGGGGAGAGGATGTGACACACCGTAATCCAAATTTAATTAAGGGATTAATTAAGTAATTAATCCTAATCCAATTGCTAATTTAATTCCTTAAATTCCTGAAAATTTAATAGTCGGGGATTAGTAATTGACTAGTCAACCCAAAGTCAAAAGTTGTACCTAAAGCTTTGTGAGTTGTTCCCTTGTTCCCTTACACATTTCATCTTAGTAAGGGTAAATGAGACATTTCCTTGGCAATAGTCTTTCAAGCTAAACTAGGAAGACACATTTCATTTCTTCAAACACTCTCCAAGAGAAAAATCATAAGCTCTCTCTCTTCTCTCAAAAAGCTAGTTAGCTTTCTCTCCAAGCCACACCTAGGGCTACCAAGATCTTTCAAGTTTGCTTTCAAGATTCTACCTTTCATACTTTTGAGCATCTATGAGGGTAAGATCTAAGCTCCTCTTGTGTTTTTAGTATTCTCTAAGGTATCTTTTTATAAAGGTGAAATCTTTATGTTGTTTTGGTGTGTTCTTGAAGTGGGTGTGGAAAGGGAACTTTGTTGGGAGCCTTGTGGAGTGTTGTAAGTGAAGGATAAGTCTTCAAGTGGTAACCCATGCTCTACAAAATCTATTTTGCTTACCTATATGATGATTTCTTGGATTCTACATGTGTTTTCCTATGAAATGTGAGTGTTGATGCATTGTCTTGTGAAAATGCATATCTAGAGCTTGTTATTAGGATTCTTGTGTGCCATTGCTTGGCTATTCCTTTGATTCAAGTCATTTTGTTGTATTTGGTGAGATTTGGCATGTTTTGGACTTGAATTTGAGCTTGGAGTTGAAAATCCCCAAAGGGATTATTTTGGTACAGGACATGTACCCGCGGGCGGAACGGCAGGTAGGGGTCCACCCGCCGCCCCACCCGCGGGGTAAAAGTGGCGTGGGATGTGGTTCCCGCGGGCGGAACCACGGGTGGGGGTCCACCCGTGGCCCCACCCGCGGGTACACTATGTTGGTTGTGCGAGGATTTGTTTTCCGTGATTCTTTTGACTCGGTATTTGGTCTTTTGACTTCCCGATGTTCTTTTGTGGAACTATTTGAGCGTCTTCTTGATGTTTCGTATGTCTAGAACTATATGGTAGGAATCCATGTAGGTTTTGGTGTCTTGAATCGTGCTAAGTGTTCAACATTGTGATTCGTTGAACCGTGATGAGTCTTGTGTGTTCTTCGGAACTATGTTTGGTTTACCCATTTGATAAGCATGCTAGTTCGGTGTTTAAATGCTAGCGTGTGTGTTGTTTGTACTTTCCTATCGTTGATGATAACTTGTATTATTCATCGTTGTGGTTGGATTGTGATCCATTCCTTGTTGAGTATGGTTTCATATCTTCGTTGTGATCCGTTGATTGATTCCTGTTGTGGTGTGGTGTGTGTGGCTGTACCTGGATTGCACGATTAATGGTATGGGACATTAGTCACTAAGGTACGACAGTGGTCCTCGTGGTGGCCATGACGCGATTATGGAGTTTGTGACCTGAGTGATGGGTTAACGTATTTCTTGGGTGGCATATGTTGCCGTGTGTGTGATCGGTACCCTCGTGTACTATGAAATCGGTGGTCTTGTTGGTGGTTGTTGGTGGGGGACGACGGTCCCAGGAGGGAAAAGGTTGGACTCAGAAGTATAAGGGTCTTGGAGGCAATGGTTGGAACTAGACATAAGGTTTGGGGTAGCTATAATGTTGGAACCGGGCATAAGGAAGGCATATCGATTCGTGATGGGTGATGTCATGAAGGCTTGTGTAGCCGTTGTTGTGTATTTCTCTATTTTGTGACATGTGTAGTCACAAAGGCAATGTGTTGCCAATGGTTGTGTTCTTATTCTCTTGTGTTATGCATGTCGGGTGTTAATCTACTGTGTGATGGTAGATTATACCTTGAGCCGTTCTTGTGAGTCGTTATTACTTCTTGTCGTACTGGGATGTGTTCCCTTATCTTTTGTGAGTGCATAGAGTCTTGTGTTGATCTCTATCTTGGCTTTTGAAATTGATATATACTATATCCCGTTTCGCAAATGATTTTGTATATATATTAACTATCTACATATGATATTTCACATGTATTGGTGGGTTACCAGCATCATTCACTGACCGGGCGTCGTCCCATATTTTATGTGTTTCTTTCAGGTGATGAGTAGATGCGAATGTGGTCTAGAACCTGTTAGCTTAGATCCCTTTGTTTTGAGATGTTGTGGCCTGTGTGCCAATGTTAGACACTAGTACTCCTGTTCTGAACGAATTTAGTTTGTGGATTTATGCAGATGTTTCGCCTGTGCGTTCACCTTTGAGTGGAAGTGGCATAAAACCCTTTATTTTCTATTCATATATTCCCTGTTTAGTCTTCCGCTGTGTATGATGTTATGACTAGTTATCTGCATGTCTAAGGCTTAATTTAGCATGGAAATTAGGGGGTGTTACAGAAACTAAGTTCTACACAAGTAAAAAATGACATGAGAATCCACCGTAAAGAAAAGACATAGCAACCCCGAGACATAGCATAGTGGAAAACTTGATGTCACGATGGAAGGCGGCAACTGAACTGCAGACACAGAATATACAATAACCGTAAAGAAAAGACAAAGCAACCCACGAGACTTAGCATAGGGGTTCATTACCGGGGCATGAAGACTAGGGGGTCTAACCGATAGACTAATTGCGCGATTTACCTGTGCAGAGGCTGGGTATAAAATATATTTGGAGACACAAAATATGCATATAATATATTAACTGCAGACATAATATATTTATTTACAAGGACATAATTTATTAATTGAAAACACATAATAAGTTAACTGTAGACAAATCATTTATTTGGACCAAGATCCACAATGTAAGGTGAACATTGAGGCAAATTACACCGTGGACCATGGTTCACTGAGCATTGTGAACCATGGTCTAAAATAGTGTCGTTTAGAAACGACACCCGTTCCACGAAAAAATCACTCCTTGTATAACATATTCAGTTTCATTTTCTTCCAACTACAGTTTCATTCGACATTATACATACAGTAGTCTTATTACAGTGAAACATGTTATTCAATTTCATTTTATACACACTGTAGTCTTATTACAACACCATTAAATTATAATTCTAATTCAACTACAGTTTCATTGGACAATATACACCCAAATATATGAAACTGTTATTCATTTTCATTTTATATACACAATAGTTTCATCACAACACAACTACAGTATCATTTCAATATAACTATAGTTTCATTGGACAATATATACTCAAATATGTGAAACGGGTATTCAAATTAATTTTATATACATTGTAATTTCATTACAACACAACTACAGTGTCATTCCGATATAACTACAATTTCATTGGACAATATACACTCAAATATGTGAAACTATTATTCAGTTTCATTGAACATGGGAATTGGAATTGAAATGGGAATCTTATTTTTTGGGGCATCAGAGAGTGAGGATGTCAGATCTGCATTCTTGTAATGAAGCATTGAGCAAAACTCTCAAGAAAAAAGGG